CCGGGACAGATGACGCCTACGACACCTGACTCGGATTCTGATGGTTCAGTGCGTCCACATCCAGGTGCCTCGTCGTTCCGACCGTCTCCTACGGTGGTTCATGGACCTCGGGAACTTCTACAAGAATTCACCATTGCACTTCGCAATGCACACCGTGAACCTTTCACGGCATGGACACAGGGTGAGCTGGATGAGATGGTGCGACGGAAGAAAGACAAGGATTCCAGGCCCACCTACAAAACCATTGCTCGGTTCCTTCAGAAGCCCATTGAGGAAGTCAAGCAGGCATGGAAGGTCTATCAGCAACTTGAGGCTCGCGGCTAGGAACCCGGTCATCAAATGCAACAGCGACCACAGGAGGACTAAATGGTAGGCCGTGGCGGTGTATTCGGTTAGCGCTGCAGGTTGTTGCGACGGTTGGGATTGCAGTCATTATTGATCACATGAAATTTGCTTGCTTGCACTTGACTGGCATTTTACCAGGGTAATATTGCTTGCCGTTGTGGGTGTTGCCGCTGACGTGAATTGAATGCATGACTGAGTTGCTCAAATCATGTCGGAACAAGTCGTACAGACGTACATTACTTGGACCCATGGAGCGCAGCCGACGTGGTTACAGTTTCACGGACCTGGTGCCCTGCTTGACAGACCCATTCGGCAGACTACGTCACCTCCGCCCCCACCAAGTTTCCCACTGCTTCTTCCACCTCCGCCTCCTCCACCGCCACCACCACCGGTGATTCTACACCCACAGTTTATGCCCTCAGTACGGAGCCCCTCGATCTCAGCTCCTCGCGGACAATCCTGCCCTGCCACATCGAAATCGCAGCGCACACGCCGCTCGATCTACAGCACTGACAATTCCCGTGATGAAGAGCTACGCAGTCCAGGGCGTTCATCCAAACGATCTCGGACAGCATCCGCTTCTGCACCGCGGAGATCTCGGCGGCCCTTTACCGTGTTCCCCTCCAAACGTGCTGACCGTCCATCGCTGTCCCCATCGGCAAATTGCAAGCATTACTGTCATGCCTTCCTGCGCCATGGGCGGAAATGTCTTTCCCCTTGTGCTCGTAGACGACCAGGACATTATCATTGCAGGTGTGCGCGGCATCAACGGCGGTGAAGCTTAGGCGTCGTATAAGTCGTATATTACAAACCTCGCTGCTGTGTCTCACCTTGAGTTTGAAAAGTTGCCTTGCATTGCTTTGGTTGACACTTCAGCTGCGCGCGGTTGTCATTGCATGTGTGTCTTCGCCGCAGATTTTCGATTGCTTTTAGCGGCCGCGCGATAGCCTGTCTTGCCGCTATGAACCCTCAATATTTCGAGTACCAGATCGAGAGAGGAGTGGAATGGATTCGAATTTACTCACCGGGCACGTGGCGACCCGTTCCCGATGATGCTCCAGTGCTCGCCCCGGTCTACGCTTCCACGTATCGGGAGTGGCGCAGGTCATATCGCTTCCAAGTGTACTGGTCCGAAGACAGCACCGGAGGAACAACAGCGGATCCCATTGTCACGCCCAGTTCGTATGTGTCCTACCACGTGTGGGAGTACCGAGACTGGCAAACACGAGGGTATCAACGACTTGGAGCTCCTTTACCAGCCATTGGACTCGCGATGCTCGTGAATGCAGACGCCAATTCCTCGGTGGACTCATCGGTTCCGGATGGGGCGTGGCGAGAGCCGTCACCACCACCATTCTATGATCCTTGGAACGATTCGGAGTGATACTTGAGCAACATGTCGGATAAAATGACGCGGTTGTGCTTGCTTTGTGTGCGATTCCATGTTGAGTTGTCTTGCTTGGTGTTGTGCGTTCCGTCTCCAGTTGTTCGCCGCTTTCATTTGACTCTGAGCGGTTTGCCTGGTTGATATGTTCAATTGTACAATGTATAGCGCAGCACGATGGGTCCTGCCTCGCTACTTTGACTACGACATCGTCAATGGCCCCGCGAATACGAGTGTAGAATGGATTCGGATCTATGTACCGGGTCCGTGGCATCCAGTCGCCGAGAACACCTTGGGACCAGCCCCGGATGACTCAACCACCTATCGGGAATGGCGCAAGGTTTACCACTTCGAAGTGTATTGGCCGAGGGATAGCACAGGCGGCACCAATACAGGTGCTGTTTCGCAGCCGGTATCTTATGCATCCTTCTATACTTGGCATTATAGAGACTGGGTCACCAGGGGATACCAACGGCTGGGTCGCCCACACCCTAGCATTGCGCGGCCAGTTTTCGCTTCGGGCGCACCGGACCTCATGTACGCTGGATTGACCTCTTCATCGGCATCCTCCAACTCGGATGGTGGCTGATGCTCGTCCTCGCCTTCCTGGGGAGTCTGTTCAGTTCAATTCGATTCGGGAGATTGACTTCGATACCGGAGCCGTGCATTGCTGCAAAAGTGATTTCTTGCACTGTGGTAGTTGTGTCTCTTTCAGTAATTGTTGTCTGCAGCCGTACCTATCAATTTGTCTTTCCGGGTTTGCGTTGTCATGCCGTGGCTGGAATGGTGTCCGGATCCTCAACAACCAGATGCCCAGTGGGTCAAGATCTTTCATCCGGGATCATGGACTCCACATGAAGAACATGATGCTCCACCTCCACCGCACACGTATAGAGAGTGGAGGGAGTTCTATGCTCCCAACCCGGACCAAGACGGTGAGCAGCTCAATGTCACCATGTGGTACAAAAGAGACTGGGCCACAGAGGGCTATCGGAGAGTCGCTGCCCCTCAAGCTGGTCATGACTTTGATTCTATGTCTTTTCCTGATCATCACAGCGTGGCCACGCAATCCGCGGCATTGAGTATGTCACCGCAGATGTTAGAAGCGATCCTTAGATCCTCGGATGCGGCGGATTTCTCTACCGAAGAACTGACTCGTCTCCAAGAGGGGATTTCTCAACAACTGACAGCTCGCGCACGTCACGCTTCCCAACTTCATCAACCTGTACGTGCATCACGTGGAATCACACCATCGGAGACTGTTGGGGTCTCCGACCCATACCGGCCTGTTAATCCTCCCGACAGCTGCAAAGCCAAGGCGAGACCTATCTTCGAGCTAAATGAGGACTAGACGCACGCGAGTGGGGTAGCATACAAAATAAGGGTGGTTTCCACACTTGCATTACCTTGCTTGGTTGTTGCTTGTACATGGTTGTGCATGGTGCCTGTTCCTCTATCAGCTGGATCGGAGCCCGCGATACGCCTTGCCTCTTACTTCGACATGGACATCGAGGATTCGAAGCAGGAGCCATGGCTCGAATACTCGGTCTGGCAGGATCAGGAGTGGGTGCGGATCTACACTGCAGGACAGCCTCAGCGATGGCACCACGGAGAAACTGTACCTGATCTACCAGACAATTCTTTTCGGGAATGGGAGCGGGTGACTGATCCCAATGGGCGCACTGGTGAGCACGGTCAGGCATGGACCATCCGCGACTGGCAGCATCAGGGATACCAGCGCATTCTGTCTCGAATGGAGTCCTTCACAACTCATCATTCGCATGATCAATCTCTTGGTGAAGTTCGGAATTCCGATGCCATTCCAGTTGAGGAGACGTTCACCTATGCTACTCCGTTTTCTCATGGTGATCGCTCGACTGCTTCACAACTCGCTTCAGTCCTCTATGGCGACACTCGTAATGCTCAACGTGGTGATCTCTCGTTCCCGTCTTCTGAGCGGTTTAGGGCTGTTTCTCGTTCCCCTCGCCGCGGTGGATTTTTTGGTCAACGATAGGGACACGGGGTTGAGCATGTGATCTTCCTGCGGAAAAGGAGACTTCTCGCCCCTCATTGAGGGGCGTGTGTGTGCGGAGTGACAGAATGCCCTGTCACCACCCTTTCGGTTTCTCAGCAGGGGGGTCACCCGCAGTCACGACCGGTGACCCAACGAAGAGGGTCGTGACCTGCGCTGATATCTGACCTGATCAGTCAGACGTACCTGCCGAGATGGTTGTGTTGTTCTGAATGTCCTTTTGGTCCCCCCCTGAACTGCCGTTGCTTCTGTGTGTCCCTGTTAAAGTAACTACAGGGAAGCCAAGCGTTATGCGAGTCGAACCTCATCATACTCGAGACTTATCAGTTGTACTCGAGACTCATCAGTTGTACTCGAAAGATTAGCACTCTCCATTTGGAGTTTAAGTGTGTGTGTGCTTGTGTGCCATGTGGACACATTCAAGTATCTCGAAAGCATACCCAGCACTGGCCGAAACATTGAACGTTTTGACCTCATTGATCAGCCATGATGAGCGCGCAGATGTCTTGCCGCAAGCGACTATATCTCATTTGTAGGCAAAACTGGGTTGTGATCAAAAGGCTCAATAAACGACCCAAGTGTCGTTCGCGCAAATACGTGTTGCTTTTCGCTTCATCATGAGCCACCACCGCTGCTTGTGAGTAGCACCCCCCCAACCAATGGAGTGCTGTACCAAGATCAATCCAAACACCCCAGTGAGTTTGCATTGTTCTGCAGATGTGCAAGCGAACGTACCAGTTGCACACGAAGCCGCTCGCAACTCAAGGCGATGCATGCCGTCTCTCGCTCTGTTATGAATCTGCCTCTGACTCTTTCTCTCTCTCTCTCTCTCTCACTCTCTCCCTCTCTCTCTGGCTCGCTGCCCAGCCATTTCCAGCCACTTGTCTTACTCTATACGTACCCTTATATCGCAAAACAGCCCTTCACACATTTGGCAACAGCTAGAGCGACATGACCATTGTATGCGCAACCCGAGATAGCACCAATACCACGCAACCCTCCATGGTCCTTTTTCGAGACATCAGATAGGTTGGAGCCAGCTGCGCAGGATCAGCCAGGGCGTCTTCTTGTCTTATCCGCGGTATTTTAGGTGTTGTCTTGACTGCTATTGGGTTGGACCTTGAGACTTTAACTTTTTTTGGGAAATACTGGTGTTTTCCACTAAGCCCCAAAAAAGCTAAACTTTTTGCAGGGGGTTCTCCAGCTTCCACTTGTGCCCCCTGGATTTTTTGCCGCCAGGCCCTTGCTGCCTTCCTGCGACACAGAGACGGGCTTGCGTGCTGGCCTATGTGCGTTTCTCAGGGCCGCGTTGCGCAACGCTTGGCACTTTGTTTGGAGAAAGCAGCTTGGCAGCGCTTGGCAGTTGGAAGTTTCTTATCAGGCAACCCTTTGTTGGTGGTCTGGATTGGTTTCGGGGGTGGTTCTTGTAGAGGACAAATGAGAAACCACTTCCTAACCTCCAAACCACCAATCCAAACTGGAGGGTAAATGAGAAACCACCAATTCAATCCAATCCAATCCAATCCAAACCAGCAAGCAGCGGGAAGCTGAATGAGAAACCACTTAACCACCAATCCAAACCACCGATCAAGGGGAAGCTGTTTGATTGAGGGGCCAGCGCTGGGCAGTTGGAGGTCTCTTAGGCCTCGAGAAATCGATTCCCAAGGCTCCAGCGGCGCGAAGGCGCGGCTGCGAGTCACCTGGTGGTTGCGGGTCATCCAGAAATCGCAACGAAGCCATGGGATTGAAACCATCAGGTTTGTGCACTCCAGGGTTTCTTAGGCGGAATGTTTGTTGGTATTATACCGGGGCATCATCACGCCAGGGTTTCTTAGGTGGTGCGAAATGGATTTCGCCCATCCATGGGGCATGAACCAGGCAGTGAGAGGATATTTGGTTCATGCAAAAGGTTTTCAGACGACTCGACTGTTGTATTACTGTATATCACATATATAAACTGTTCAGAAGTGCTAGCGACATGTCTAGCACACATGTGATGATTATGGATGCATTCAGAATCGCCCCCTTGAGCGCAAGCTGAAAGGACGCGACGGGACCAAAACACTTGGAATTTCTGTCACGTGACATTTGCCGCGCTCCAGCCATTCTTCAACCACGTTTAAATGCCAGGAGGGCTAAGCATTCACGTGCCAGGCAAAGCGCAGAAGAGAGACAAGGTCGCCGAGCGGTCGCGATTGGGTCAATTTGAAATGCTTGCTTTGAATCAGGGCTCCTTAAAATTTGCATTTTGCCCATTTGAAACATGGCTTTTTCCACCAAAATAAAGGGAACCCACCATTTACAAGGCAATGTTCAGGTGTATAATGTAAGGATCCCTGTGAATATATGGCTGATCGCCATTCATGGTTGTCCAAGGACGAAACAGTGTTCAGACGCTCGCTGCAGTCAATGCGACACATTGTTGCCAATCAACACAGCTTCACGACAGAAACTACAATCAACTACAGTACCCGCAATGTTGTTGCTGCCGTTAGCTTGTTTGAAGCTTGCCTCCTTGCAATCAAAGGTCCCATGTAGCTGATCAACCAGACAATTGTGACGACATGTAGACTTTTCAGTATAGCTATGTATCACCTGCATGCGTTTTCTTAATGATGTAAATATATGATGACGGACACACCCTGTATCAAAGATGGTGCCAAGATGATCACGTGAAGCTGTACCCATCCAGGTTGAGTGCGACTTATGCACACGCTTCGTCAATGTGTGGATCAGATCTTTGGAGAACTGCTCATGCCTAGCACCATACTCCGAAAGGTTGTGTAGTCCAACACGGTGCGTGTTTCTGGTTTCGGGAAGTCAGAAGCAAGATTATCAGTTTTGGGCGCGTGTTCCAGGGTTGATTAAACATAGGGAAGGCAAAAGCAGAAGCCAGTTTCGCAGGGTGGGGTAAAATATGGTTTAAACACCACCTTCACAAGAAATCGTAGTCAGAATCAGTGGTTTAAGCATGTTTAAACCGATGGGTAGCCCCACCCTACAGTTTCGGGGGTCCCCCGTACTCAAAGCTGTGAGAATTTGTGTATTACACTCTGGGATCACACTCTTGGGAAATGACCCAGAATGGCTCAAAACAGCACAGTTTTATCTGGAAATGTGCCTAAATGGGGTCAATACCCTGGGTGTATTCCCAGGGTGTAATACAAACACCCCTTGGAGAAACACACCCAGCCCACAGGACGATCTGCTGTCCTGCCTGCGTGTCTTCGGACCTGCGGTGCTGGCGATGGCGATCTTCACCGCCTGGGGGTCAGGCGGGAAGACTGGAGGCTGACGTGCTGATGGACTTCACCTGGAGTCTCCTTCTGACCCTTTCAAAAATGGGGTCGTTACCCTAAATAATGGGGTCACGGACCTGTTTTTATTTCGGGTCATGGAGACTCTAGGCAGTCACTTTTTGGGTTTGGGCTATTCTAGTGGCCAATGTGGCAAACAGCAAGTTCAGGAAGTGAGGAGGTGATTGGGGAGCGCAAGGCGAGTGAAAGGCCACCCAGAAGTTTGGTTCCATTTTAGAAGTCACTGGCGAAAATGGTGCGTGTTGCTCAACATGGTATGACGCAGAGTTGGTTGTTGTGCTCGACTTCTCTTCTTGGACTTGCTCATGTAGCAATTTGTTGGATAGAGACCACGTGCAGCGAATTTCACCCGGTCGTCCTCCGACTTGGGGGCGGTATGTCAGCCAATTCAGCTGCACTTCCTAAAGGGTCCAAGACATATGCCCTTTGGAAGCCGACAGAAGCTGCCATGAAATGTCTTTGACGAAAGCTTCGCTCACTGAAATTTCCGGAGCATAGCCCAAGAACGCGAAGAGCTTCCGAGTTTACCCTTCGACTGGCCCTTGGTTCGTAGTGAAATAGTTCTTTTCCCTCAGATCAGAGCTTGCCAGCACTCATTTTCCCATTGGCTACACAGAGGGATCCCCCTTTGCTTTGCCAAAAACCGTCACAATCGTAATCTGGAGAGTAAGGATCTTTTGTACAGTTGCTCACGGCACTTTGTTTGATCCGTCAGTCAAATGTGGAAGTTTAAGACGAAATATAATTGCAATTTACAAATTGAATCAACAGTGGGGAAGTGCTGAACGTACCCCTAATAAGGCCTGGCAGGAGTCAGGAGTCTAGTATTGGTTTGGTATACGGTGAATCACAAGTAAAAGGAGAGAGAGGGTTCTTTTCGGGTTTTGGCCTGAACGACATTGTTTTTGTTACATACATATATATATATATTGTATACATGCATATATATATATATATTATACAGATGGTGGATTTACTATGTGCGCATTGCGTGGTCTACCGAAAGCACTAGAGAAGCTCGTGCCCAGGCGCGGTGCGGCGCCTGGGCATTGTGCCCCGCACCTGGGAGGGCCTTCCCGGGGTCTTCTTCGGGTGCTTCGTGCCTGGGAACTCAGATCTGGGCCATGCACATTGGCTCCAAATTCCAGGACCAGACAAGGATAGAAACAAAAACAGGCATGGAGAATTCATTTTGAGTCTTCTTTTTGCTGTTGTGTCTTTTTGTTTTCCAGTGACCATATTTTCCATGTACTATAGACCATTGGTTTTGAGTATCCTTTTGCTGTCCTTTTTCTCCAGTGACCAGAATGTTCGACACGTGTGACGAATCGGGTTTTGAGAGCACGCCTGATACTATTGCCGGACGAAAAATCAAAGATACACGGAACTTCCGTTTGGTCCAAATCATTTGTTTGCTGGTTTCGGATGTTCAGCGACAAAAGCCAAACGAGCGGGCATGTCGATTTGGCCGGGGTGTCATTGCAAAATCCCAATGTTGCCCGATTGGGCAAATTTGTGTATTTGCTTTGCCCTTTCCATGAATTGCACAACAACTTTGAATGCATGCTTTCACAACTTTGTTCTAGCATGCTTTGCTGTTGTTCCATGATTTGGGGCAAATTTGTGCTAGAACAACCACTTTGAGCTAGCGTTTGAACCCTCGCTGATCGGCTGAGTGCGAAGCCCAAAAGGCCGTGGGAGAAGAGAGGCCATGCTTCGTGAGGCGAAATTTGAGGATGCAGCTTGGGTGTGTCTTTTTGGGAGAACTTTCCAAAATGGCGCTGCTTCTTTTCGTTTGAAGGGGGGTATCCTCAAAAGACAGACCCAGTTCTTGATTGGACCTTGAACTCCTTGGGCTTTTCACCAAATCCCTTCGCATAATTGTGTGGTCTACGTTGCTCCTAGTGGCTGAGAAAAGGTTTGCGAGCCGTGTCCGTTCTTGGAACCTCTAAACGTGGCGATCGTTCAATGGAAACCGCCAGCAAATTGCAACTTTCGATTTGGGAAAGTCCAGTGTCCCCTGGAGGATGCCTTTGCCAGTTTTGTTTCAGGAGCCCTGGACAAGCAAGAGGATGTCGAGGTAAGTTCCTCCAGACCGGTGAGCACTTGGGCGAAGTCGCCAAAAGGGGGCCACAACGTTTGACAGCAGAATAACCCAGCAATGTTTCCCTGAGTCACTGAGGGGGTGGTGGAATTGTTAGACTCTCATTGTTTGCCTTCGACCAGCAGTCGCGCCATTTTTTCGGCTGAGGCATTTCTCATGGCCCCATTGCATATGGAACGCTGTGGCGGGGCTCTAAGATCCATTGGGCCAGATTGCGCCTGCGAAATGTGCCCCGGGTGGATGAAGGAGCAAGGTATACTCCAACCATAATTAGCTGCGGCCGCCTTCTTACTTCTTTACATGGTTCTGGGTAGACCATTTTCATACTTTGTTTTGATTGTGACTCAAATGGGAGCGGCATTTTTGTTTTTGGCCCCATTGCAGGTGAGTTGAAGCTGAAGAGGTAGACCAACGAAGCCAAGAACAAACATATTTCAGCGCATTCTGAAACGGTGTCATTGTTATTAGGATCGAGTGCGATCAACCGTAGCACCACAACGCTCCCCAAGATTAACCGTGTTTCTGGCGCGTCGTCAAATCGCAGACCAATGTGCTGCGAGATCCATGCATGATGCTTTACATCCAAACATCCAGCCTGACATTTGAGTTTCAAATTGACAACGAAGATGGTCAACCTCTTGAAGGCTTTGGGCTGTTTTGCAAGATCCAGGCAGCCAATGCGGCACATCAGTTGCCTTCGGGGTGTGCACGAGTTGGACAGCTGTTTGAGTACAGTTCAGAGCTTCCGTCTAAGGTTTTGCCTTAGCGCATCAGTGACTAACGATTCTGTGGTGCTCTGCGATTTGCTTAAGAATATATGTTATTCTCCCTGGTGGAATTTTAAAGGGAGTCTGTCATTGGAACAGATATGTTTGTTTTTGCTTTTTTCTCCAGGGCGCTGAAGCAAATGGAGGTGTTTGGCGTCACGAAATAGTTGCAACGCTGGCCAAAAGTGAGTCTAGTGCCTGCCACGTTTCTTTGGGATTATTGTCGAGAGCCCTTGACAAGCTGGTTTTGTACATGTTTGTTGATGAATAATTGGCACTCACACCTGCACATCGCCAAAGCTATGGTCAAATGTAGGAGGTTATTTTTGGGCATCCGTGGCAGGGCCCACTTGGCTGGCCAAAAGCAGCCCCGCTGAAAGCGAGTCGGCTTTCGCTGAGGCTCTTGCTCTTTTGGCTCCCTGTGTTCTTGGCGCCGGTGTGGGAAACTTGCCTGCCACTTGACTGCGCTGGGCAGTGCCATGTGAGCGGATAGCTTAAAGCAGTCCGGATTTGTTGTTATCCCCAACGGCTGAAAGCTATGGAGTCGTAGGCCCAGATAGGCAATCAGGGGTGGTTTGGGGCAGCTTTCAGGGAGGGTTCCGGAGGGTTTCGGATTGTTCCAGGGGGCTCCGGGCTGTTGGGGATACCATTTTGGCTTAAAGGGGATAGCATTGGGTAGACTCACCAAAAATCTAGCAGAACATGGAGGGTTACTCGCCGAAATATCTAATATAGCCGTTGTGTCAGTCAGTATGTGCAAGATCGGGGAGGTGGAAAGTTGTGAGGGACCATCAGGGTGCTTTGACAGGAACCTTATTTGATGTGCAACAGAGGCATTTAGCCCCTTGGACACAGCGAAAGGAAGGCCTATCAATCATGGCACGGTCCAATGCCTTGTTGCGCGCGTGTCTGTGTGTTGGTGTGAGTGTGTCACCGTGTCACTCTTGCACTGTGTGTGTGAGTGAGTGAGTGAGTGTGTGTTTGGTGGGCAATGTGTTGAATGATATGCATGCGAAGTTGAGCCGCAAACCCTCTTTGTGCGATGCGAAGTTGAGCCCCCCAGTTTCCACATGGTCCTTGTGGACATCTGCCAGGCCGCGTCTGCGTTCATCGCGTTGTCTAGTGGATTTTGCCCTGCCCTCGGCAGCTCAGAGGACTAAATTGGTTGAAAGCAGCGGTAGGGCGGCTGATAGGTGTCCTTTTCCTGGTTTACCTGGTGGTTTAGTCATCTTTTCCCTAAAAGGACACCTATGGGGCGGCTCCTCCAAGTCATGTTTTCTTTATTCCTCTTGCGGAAGAGGATGCCCTGGTGAAATAGGCGCCCTTCACAAATCTTCACAAAATGAGCAATGGTTGTTTGGTCAATTGGATGTTCGGCGGAGGGCAGAATTTGGGTTCTCCTGTTTTTAGTACAAGCAATGTTGCTCAATTTGTTAGGGTCCAGGTACATGTTGGTCAGGTTGAACATCACTTGTGAGCTGTGGGGGCGAGTCTTTGCAGGACACAAGCATAGACAAACGCCATAGGTCACGAAGGATCCGTAGGGTTTGACCATTTGTGTGCCATTCAAAGCTGGGCGGCGGAAAGTTCGGATTCCTGCACCTGAATGAGTAATTGTTCCAAAAGGAAGCCACCGGAAGGTTTGTTTTGAAGTGACACCCAATTTGGGTGTGTCTTGAAACAGGGGTAATGTTGGCACTTGATTAATACAGGCCCCGGGATAGAAAAAGTAGGCTTACTTTTGGGATGTCCAAACAATGGAGAATTTCGGGGCCCAATTCTACTTTAGCCAAAGGAAGTTTAGAAGGAACTTCCGTGTTACGGCAACTAATTGAAAGCTAGCTCTCTCAGACAAATGACAAGAGAAGGAATAAGCCCGCGAGAAAAAATGCGCGCGCGTGTGGCAGGGGAAGAGAAAGTCGCAAAAACATGGTTTTGTGCGTGAATCGGCGTTTTTGGAGATGAGAAAGTCGCAAAAAGCGTGGCGCTGTGCGTGAATTGGCGTCTCCGGAGACGCGAAAGCTAGCCTGTCCGCGGCGTCTGGTCGGAGCGGTCTCGGAGCGGGGTCGGCGCCGGGCCCATTGGCACGGCAACGCAGAGGTTTCGCAAGGATTGAATTGCGTGGCAGGTGTAGTATTTTGGTGAGGTCGGGTGCAGATTTCGTGGCAGGCGCAGCACTTTCGCAAGGTCAACTTTTCTCAAGGTTTGAATTGCGTGGCAGGCGCAGCACTTTCGAAAGGTCAGGTGCAGATTTCGTGGCAGGCGCAGCACTTTCGCAAGGTCAAGTACAGATTTCGTGGCAGTCGCAGCACTTTCGCAAGGTCAAGTGCACAATTCGTGGCAGGCACAGCACTTTCGCAAGGTCAAGTACAGATTTCGTGGCAGGCGCGGCACTTTCGCTAGTTTAGGTACAGATCGATAAATACGTTAATAGATAAACAGAGGGAGATAGATAGATGCGTAGATAGGTAGATAGATAGATAGATAGACAGATAGATAGAGAGATAGATAGATAGATGGAAATATGGATAAAACATGTAGGTAGATAGATAGATAGATAGATAGAGAGATAGACGGATAGATAGATAGATGAAAGATAGAGAAAATAGAGATAGATAGATAGATAGATAGATGGATAGATAGATAGGTAGGGAGATAAATAGATAGATGCAGAGAGAGATAGACAGACAGTTTGTTAGCCAGATAGACAAATAGATTCATATATATATATATACATATGTATATAGATATAAAGATAGATAGAAGGATAGAAAGATAGGTAGGTAGGTAGATAGATAGATAGAAAGAGAGATCGATAGATGTATAGATAGATAGATAGATAGATACATAGATAGATAGATAGATAGATTGATAGAGAGAGAGAGATAGATAGATGGAAGTATAGATAAAAGAGGTAGGTAGATAGATAGATAGATAGAGAGATACACGGATAGATAGATACACGGATAGATAGATGAAAGATAGAGAAAATAGAGATAGATAGATAGATACATAGATAGATAGATAGATAGAGAAATAAATAGATAGGTAGATAGATAGATAGGTAGGGAAATAGATAGATGGATACAAAGAGAGAGAGATAGATAGATAGATAGATAGATAGATAGTTAGTTAGATAGACAAATAGATTCAGTTATACATATATATAGATATAGATATAGATAGATGGATAGATAGGTAGGTAGGAAAGAGAGATCAATACATAGATAGATAGATAGATAGATAAATAGATAGAGAGAGAGATAGATAGATAGATGGAAATATAGATAAAAGAGGTAGGTAGGTAGATAGATAGATAGATACATAGGCAGATAGATAGATAGATAGATAGATAGAGAGATCGACAGAAAGAGAGACAGATAGATAAATAGATAGATAGATAGATACGCGGGAGATAGATGGAGAGATAGATGGATAGATAGATATATAGATAGAGAAAAGGAAGATAAACAGATAGATAGATAGATAGCAAGAAAGAGAGATAGAGAGATAGCTGGAGAGATAAATGATTAGATAGATAAACCAACAAAAGATAGACAGACAGATAGATAGATAGATAGACAGAGAGACAGATAGATAAATAGATAGAAAGAGAGATAGAGATATAGATAGATAGATAGATAGATAGGTAGATGGACAGAGAAATACATAGATAGATAGATACATAGATCGATAGACAGATAGAGAGATAGCTAGAGAGGTAGATAGAAAGAGATAGAGAAAGAAATACAGAGATAGATAGAGAGAGAGAGAGAGATAGATAGGTAGAGATAGAGAGAGAGAGAGAGAGAGCAAGTAGATAGATAAATAGACAGAGAGAGAGATAAAGAGATAAAGAGATAGATAGATGGATAGAGAGAGAGATATAAGATAGAGAGAGAGAGAGACAGATAAATAGGAAGACAAAGATATAGATAGATAGATAGGTAGATAAATAGATAGATAGGTAGATAGATAGATAGATATAGAGATAGATAGATAGAGAGATAAATCAATAGATAGATACACGATAAACAGACAGATAGATAGATAGACAAACAGATAGATATATATATAGATAGATGGAGATAGATAAATAGATAGAAACAGAGATAGAGAGAGAGATAGATCGATAGGTAGATAGATAGAGAAATAAATAGATAGATAGGTAGTGAGATTTGGATAGAGAGGTAGATAGAGAGATTGATAGATAGGTAGATCTATAGACAAGTAGAAATATAGATAGATGGATAGATAGATAGATAGATAGAGAGAACAAAATAGATAGGTAGACAGACAAAGACATAAAAAAATATACATAAATAGATAGATAGAGAGATAGAGACAGATAGATAGATAGATAGATAGATAGATACGCGGGAGATAGATGGAGAGATAGATGGATAGATAGATAGATAGATAGATAGAAAGAGATAGAGAAAGAGATGGAGAGATAAACAAATAGAAATAAAGAGAGATAGAGAGATAGATAGAAAGAAAGACAAATAGAGAGATATATGGAGAGATAAATAGTTAGATAGATAAACCAACAGAAGATAGATAGACAGATAGATAGAGAGATAGATCGAGAAATAGATAGAAAGAGAGATAGAGATATAGACAGATAAATAGTTAGATGGATAGAGAAATAAATAGATAGATAGATAGATAAATAGATAGAGAGGTAAATAGATAAATAGATAGAGAGAGAGAGAGTAAGATAGATAGATAAATAGACAGAGAGAGATAAAGAGATAGAGAGATAGATAGAGAAGATAGATAGAGATATAGATAGATAGATAGATAAGCAGATAGATAGATAACACGAGAGATAGATAGATAGGTAGTTAGGTAGATAGATAGGTAGAGAAAGATAGATAGACAAGCAAACGAAAGAAAGAAAGAAAAGACAGATAGAAAGAAGGAAAGAAGGGAGGAAGGAAGGAAAGAAAGGAAGGAAGGAAGAATGACGGAGAAAACGAGTCAAGAAAAGAAAGATAAAGAGAACTAAAGTTTTTTATTTTTGAAACTTCCGCCCACCGGCTTCGCCGGCTCTACTGGTATTGCAGTCACTTCCCTTTCAGTTCTTTCTGTAGCCATTCAAAGTGGGCCACCAATTGAAAGGGGAATGCTTTTAAAGCACGTGGGCCACCAATTGAAAGGGGAATGCTTTTAAGCAAGTGGGCCACCAATTGAAAGGGGAATGCTTTTAAGCAAGTGGGCCACCAATTGAAAGGGGATGCTTTTAAGCACGTGGGCCACCAATTGAAAGGGGAATGCTTTTAAGCACGTGGGCCACCAATTGAAAGGGGAATGCTTTTAAGCAAGTGGGCCACCAATTGCAAGGGGAATGCTTTTAAGCAAGTGGGCCACCAATGAAAAGGGATACTTTTAAGCAAGTGGGCCACCAATTGAAAGGGGAATGCTTTTAAGCACGTGGGCCACCAATTGAAAGGGGAATGCTTTTAAGCACGTGGGCCACCAATTGAAAGGGGATGCTTTTAAGCAAGTGGGCCACCAGTTGAAAGGGGAATGCTTTTAAGCACGTGGGCCACCAATTGAAAGGGGAATGCTTTTAAGCACGTGGGCCACCAATTGAAAGGGGATGCTTTTAAGCAAGTGGGCCACCAATTGAAAGGGGAATGCTTTTAAGCACGTGGGCCCCCAATTGAAAGGGGAATGCTTTTAAGCAAGTGGGCCACCAATTGAAAGGGGAATGCTTTTAAGCAAGTGGGCCACCAATTGAAAGGGGAATGCTTTGAAGCACGTGGGCCACCAATTGAAAGGGGAATGCTTTTAAGCACGTGGGCCACCAATTGAAAGGGAAATGCTTTTGAGTAAAGCAACTGATAGCTATTTTCTGGGAGGGGGGGCTGGGGGCTTGCAGACTAATGTTGTTTTAACATTGATTTGTGGCTATTTTTTGGAATTTTCCTCCCGGACAAAGCAACTTTCAGTTATTCAGGTCCCTATCAACAATGGGGGCGAACCATAATAGGAAAACAAACTGTCAATTATTGACTGACCCATGATGAATTGGGGGTTAACATTAGTCCCAAGCTGATTGGTTTCCTTTTGGTCTACACACCCGATTTATTTGGTTCCCAGCCATCCCCTTCATTTGTTTTTTTGTGTTTAGCGTTTAGTTTCCATGAAGCACAACAAACTCTTAGCAGGGAATCATAAAACGGATTGCCCGGGTTTAGTGGTAGTTTCCTTTAAACCAACTGAAAGTCGTGGATCATAAAGTGCAGCCCAATTTTGGGCCCCGTTCTTTTGGGGTGGTTCACGTTCATGACTTGCTGAGGCGTTTGGTGCATGGCAAGGCCCGCGCTACACGCGGGCGCCAGTGGAGTGGTCTGTGGCTACCTGGGCTTGCTGATGGCACTGGTGCTGAGGCCAGGGCACTCCCGCAGATAGGGCCTCAGCTGGGATCTGTGGGGAACCTGTGGATGGTTGCAAACTCCAGAAATCGCACCACAGAATGAAGAAACCAGGGGAGACCAAAACCTTCTTTGCTAAATTTACGTTGGGGAATCATATGTCATTCCCTTGGGTTTCTGAATTTACGACGATCCGCAGTAGGTTCACCTTCCTCTTGATTGGTTTGGATTGGTGGTTTGGATTTGGATTTGAACCCCTTCTTGTGAAGGGTAAACTTGGGAAACGCCGGAAAACCACCAAACCACTAATCTAAACCACCAACAAAGAGAAGCTGATAGCTGTGTGTGTTTGCCTTAAAAGGAGAGTACCCCTTTCAAGCTTGGATTAAAGGGGGCTCGGGCAAAACACTCTAGGGGTCCAGTAGTTTGGTGAATGCCTGCTTGGAAGCTGCAGGACAATCCGGGGCAAAATGTACAAGGAGGTCGGTAAAACGATCTCAAACCCATTATGAAACTTTCTTACCCAAGGATTTCATGTTTCTGGTTTATGAGTTACAGTAACTTGCACAAGGCCCGCAGAACATGTTAATATTCCGAAGGGCGTCAGGCCATTTCCAGGCTTGCTGTTCCTGTTGGAAGTGAGAGGAACAACATCTCATGGGTAGAGAGGGTCGTAACCACGACAAAGAACCTGTTACAACGACAAAGGTCATTGTTACAACGACAAAGAATCTTGTTACACCGACAAGTTTCAGTGAAGACTATCCCGACAAGGCTTCTACTACTACTACTACTACTACTACTACTACTACTACTATTACTATTATTACTACTACTACTACTATTATTATTATTACTACTACTACTATTACTATTATTACTACTACTACTACTATTACTATTATTACTACTACTACTACTACTATTACTATTATTACTACTACTACTACTACTATTACTATTATTATTACTACTACTACTATTACTGCTATTACTACTACTACTACTACTATTACTACTATTACCACTACTACTATTACTATTATTACTACTACTACTACTACTATTACTACTATTACTACTACTACTACTATTACTGCTATTACTACTACTACTACTACTACTATTACTGCTATTACTACTACTACTACTATTACTACTATTACTAGGACTATTATTACTAGGACTACTATTACTACTATTACTATTACTACTATTACTACTATTACTACTACTACTATTACTACTACTACTATTACTACTATTACTACTACTACTATTACTACTATTACTACTATTACTACTACTACTATTACTATTATTACTCTTATATTCCTTCTTATTCCTTTTTATTGACCTTCTTATTCCTTTTTATTCCTTTCTATTGACCTTCTTATTCCTTCTTATTCCTTTCTATTGACCTTCTTATTCCTTCTTATTCCTTTCTATTCACATTCTTATTCCTTCTTATTCCTTTCTATTGACTTCTTATTCCTTCTATTTTTCTATGACCTTCTTATTCCTTCTTATTCCTTTCTATTGACCTTCTTATTCCTTCTTATTCCTTTCTACTGACCTTCTTATTCCTTCTTATTCCTTTCTATTGACCTTCTTATTCCTTTTTATTCCTTTCTAATCACCTTCTTATTCCTTCTTATTCCTTTCTATTGACCTTCTTATTCCTTCTTATTCTTTCTATTCACTTCTTATTCTTCTTATTCCTTTCTATTGACTTCTTATTCCTTCTCCTATTCCTTATTCCTTCTTATTCTTTCTATTGACCTTCTTATTCCTTCTTATTCCTTTCTATTGACCTTCTTATTCCTTCTTATTCCTTTCTATTGACCTTCTTATTCCTTCTTATTCCTTCCTATTTACATTCTTATTCCTTCTTATTCCTTTCTATTGACCTTCTTATTCATTCTTATTCCTTTCTATTGACCTTCTTATTCCTTCTTATTCCTTTTTATTCACCTTCTTATTCCTTCTTATTCCTTTCTACTGACCTTCTTATTCCTTTCTATTGACCTTCTTGTTCCTTCTTATTCCTTTCTATTCACCTTCTTATTCCTTCTTATTCCTTTCTACTGACCTTCTTATTCCTTCTTATTCCTTTCTATTGACCTTCTTGTTCCTTCTTATTCCTTTCTATTCACCTTCTTATTCCTTCTTATTCCTTTCTACTGACCTTCTTATTCCTTCTTATTCCTTTCTATTGACCTTCTTATTCCTTCTTATTCCTTTCTACTGACCTTCTTATTCCTTCTTATTCCTTTCTATTGACATTCTTATTCCTTCTTATTCCTTTCTATTGACCTTCTTATTCCTTCTTATTCCTTTCTATTGACCTTCTTATTCCTTCTTATTCCTTTCTATTGACATTCTTATTCCTTTCTATTGACCTTCTTATTCCTTCTTATTCCTTTCTATTGACCTTCTTATTCCTTCTTATTCCTTCTATTGACCTTTCTTATTCCTTCTTATTCCTTTCTATTGACCTTCTTATTCCTTCTTATTCCTTTCTACTGACGTTCTTATTCCTTCTTATTCCTTTCTATTGACCTTCTTATTCCTTTTTATTCCTTTCTAATCACATTCTTATTCCTTCTTATTCCTTTCTATTGACCGTCTTATTCCTTCTTATTCATTTCTATTCACATTCTTATTCCTTCTTATTCCTTTCTATTCACCTTCTTATTATTCTTATTCCTTTCTAAACACCTTCTTATTCCTTCTTATTCCTTTCTATTGACCTTCTTATTCCTTCTTATTCCTTTCTAATCACCTTCTTATTCCTTCTTTCTATTGACATTCTTAATCCTTCTTATTCCTTCCTATTTACCTTCTTATTCCTTCTTATTCCTTTCTATTGACCTTCTTATTCATTCTTATTCCTTTCTATTGACCTTCTTATTCCTTCTTATTCCTTTCTATTCACCTTCTTATTCCTTCTTATTACTGACCTTCCTTTCTATTGACCTTCTTATTCCTTTCTATTGACATTCTTATTCCTTCTTATTCCTTTCTATTGACCTTCTTATTCCTTCTTATTCCTTTCTATTCACATTCTTATTCCTTCTTATTCCTTTCTATTGACGTTCTTATTCCTTCTTATTCCTTTCTATTGACCTTCTTATTCCTTCTTATTCCTTTCTATTGACCTTCTTATTCCTTCTTATTCCTTCTTATTGACATTCTTATTCCTTCTTATTGTTTTTTTATTCACATTCTTATTCATTTCGATTGACATTCTTATTCCTTCTTATTCCTTTCTATTGACCTTCTTATTCCTTCTTATTCCTTTCTATTCACCTTCTTATTCCTTCTTATTCCTTTCTACCAACCTTCTTATTCCTTTCTATTGACCTTCTTATTCCATCTTATTCCTTTCTATTGACCTTCTTATTCCTTCTTATTCCGTTCTATTGACCTTCTTATTCCTTCTTATTCCTTTCTATTCACCTTCTTATTCCTTCTTATTCCTTTCTATTCACATTCTTATTCCTTCTTATTCCTTTCTATTGACCTTCTTATTCCTTCTTATTCCTTCTTATTGACCTTCTCATGCCTTCTTATTCCTTTCTGTTTCCCTGCTTGTCGGGATAAGCGCGCAAGAAACATGTCGCTGTAACGCTTTTTTTCTGCCGTGGTAACATTGCACCTTGTCATGGTAACAAAATCGCGTTTTTGTCGTGGTTACGACCCCCTCTCTGGGGGCTGAGCGGGAGGGAGGGAGGGAGGGAGGGAGGGAGGGAGAAAGGTAGGGAGGGAGGGAGGGAGGGAGGGAGGGAGGGAGGGAGGGGGGAGCCCAAATAAGCCCTAAAAAACACCTTAGGAAGGCCTTCTTAAGGGCTTATTTGGGAAACATATCTTCGTGAGTGCTCTTATGTCAAGCAGTCAGCTACTACCCAAAAGCCAGCCATGACATTGAAAGCGGAAAGCCATGGAGTCACTTCCAAACGTTCCCCAGTTCCAAATGGCCACTTCCTTCGTTGACAATCATCAACTTTGGGGAAGTCAGCCCATGGAAGACATAGGTCCTTTTTAGTCGTTTTGGTAGAAAAAATGGATGGCCCTGGTTTACCTGGTGATTTAATCATCTACCAGGGAAACCCATCTACTTCCTCTAAAAGGACACCTATGATTCTATGATGGAAGATGTATGATGAGTTGCTGGAAGTGCAGACTTGCACATGAATGTCTCATGCCATTGGCCCCTCTCACGCGCGTTTTCCTGACAGACTTTGAGGCAGGCGCGATTCCCCAGAACTGTTGGTCGCACAGGTTTTGGCACGAATCCCGGGGTTCCTTGTGCGCTGGGGTCGTCTTGATATCACTGATGCCGACAGCTGGCGCAGTTCAAAAGCGCCAGCTGTTGTGAAAACCTCTACACACAAACAGCGGGACGTGCACGCCAGAGAGCGCTTGCGGAGACCTGCTCTTAGGATGCCAGAGGTGGCAGCAATCAGTGCATTTGCTCTCCATGGCATAGGTGTTCTCGCCTGCAACATGCAAATGCCACGATGAGCAACTGATCATATGACCAGGGTTCTGGTATTTATCGGCTTTGGGTGGGGCCCTATCGGTTGTGCAGTTTGGTATCGGTTCGGCTCACAAGTAGACAGGATAAACATTCCGTGCCCTGCAAAGCACACATGCTGTACCGCTCATCTCTTTACTGTCGGAGACATTTTGGAAATGGAGCTCGCGAAACTGCTTTTGCCTCTGAAGCCAAAGGCCGCAAGATGTAAAGCAACGTGGAAGGCCCTGGTCGTCTGTCCTGAAGTCTTCGCACCCAATCCTGCCCTCTTGACGCAATGTTGACACTGGCGGTGTCCAATTCACGCCAGGCCAGCATGTCGCGTTCAATTGGAACGGCTGGTGCTGACCAATCATTCCACGGCGAGGACCTCTGAGCACGGCGTCACACATTATCGAGCCATACCCACTCATTGCTTGTTTAAGCATGCCCAAAATCCCAAGTCTCCAAGAAACAGTGGTTGGGACCTGTGCTACAGTTGCTGTCTGCAACATGCCTGCGCCAGGCGGCGAGACGTGCCACTGGGAACTCTCCTCATGGCGGGGACCGCTCAGACACGAGTGGCTGGCTGCGGGGCTGGTTGGACCAATTCATGGCTCTTGTTTTTGCTCAGGGTCAACACATTGATGAGGTAATGGTTACAAGCTTACATGTGCTATGTCCGGAATGGTCGTTGCCATCCATGGAAAGATGGTTTCGTAAAATATAAACGTTATGTTTGATGGTCATTGCACCAGACCAGTGACATATAGTGACATGGTCCATGGTTGTCCCTCTATCATCAATGCTACAATTGGACTGTCCGATTTCCATCATTTTGGAGTCCAAGTCGCTTCATGCGTTCTGAGCATTTCCGTTTCTTGCTTTCCTTTGAGATGTCGCACAGGGGAGTTCCCTGTCAGAGCCAAAGGGCCGTGACGGGGAGCCCACGCGGTCAGCTTGCGGTTGGTGTTCATTGATTTCTGTCCTAGATTTGACACATGGCCAATTGAATGAGCCGAAAGGCCGCCCCCTACCACCAGAAAGGTTCTCAGAATCCTTCCCTCCATTTGCTTAAGAATATGTTTTATTTCCCCTTCACACATTTTTATTTTTTCCTGGTGCCTTAACGAAGCTTCTAAGAGCCCCTTCTACGCAGGTTCTGAGAGCCTGGTTGTGGGTCCCGGTGCCTTCGTGTGAATAGGTGATTCTCAGCCCACCAATCTTGCTACTGGAGGTGGGCCTAAGGGCTGCCAGACATTTCACTCTGGCTGTATGTTTGTATTATATATATGTATTATATATAATATATAGATTTTCTTTTTAGAATTTACCTTTAAATACTATGTTTAGATTTTGTTTATATGGCTATGAATTTGAATTGGGAACCCTTGGGTGGAAACCATTTAGGAGGATTTTTATGTCCACCAACCATCTTTGAGGGGGTTCCCCAGTTAGCTTCATAGCGCCATATTCCGGCCTTGGCGAGCCGAGTGAATCACTCGGCGTGAGGTCCTTGGAGTCGTGGTGTGCTACGGGGGCGCCCTCTTGCTGCTGCAGCCTCAGAGCGACGGCCCAATAGAAAGCACCCACTGCGCGTGGGTTCACTTTTTTTTTGCAGGCGAGCCGAGAAGCAGACGTGATCTTGAAGCTCAGTGGGTAATATAACGATCTTCATTCAAACTTTTACTAACAGACAACGAACGGTGGTTTTGGAGTACCCCCCCCCACCCGATTCCAATTTGTTGGGCCCCACCTCAAACTTCGGGAGTGAAGCGTCCGCATTGCATGGCACAGCTCGCCAAATGGCGCTGGGCCTTGGCGACTTTTCGCTAGGCATAGCCCGGGACTCTCCTTGCCGCTCTACGAGGCAGAGCTTCCCACCGCGTTGTGAGCATGTGTCACAACTGGGAACTACGAGGAAGGTTGACCCCATATTCATCAACGCCAGTTTATTATTTAAATGGGTGTTTTCTGGTTTTAGTGGGGATTCATCACTTTTTGGAGGGGACCACCCCCATATTGATAACTTGGGGTCGATTAGTATGGGGTCAACATTGAGCCCCAATGAGCTTTTTGGACAGCACGGGTGTTCGAGGTAGCAGTCCTTGGGAGCCTTGGTGGGAACCCTTTGTTTTGAGGGAACCCAGGCACTGCCTGGCGCATTTCAATGGCCCCGACCGTTTCCCGTCGGCACGCTGCCTGAACCTTGGCAAAGAAATGCATCCCATGGCCGAACGGTTGCATTTGTGGGGTAGAGGATGCATGTGATCCCGTCGCACCTGACCCAATGTCTCCGGATTCTGAGGGCAACTTGAGCGCCCAAACTCTGTTTGGCATGTTTCATTCATAACTTTGCTGCTTTTTGGTTGGATCTTTGGAAGTTCGCTTGTTGGGGAAATCACGGAAATTTCGTTGAACCCACAAACAAGTGTAAACTTTTTTGCACAGGGGTCAACAGCAGCCAAGATGCCCCATGCCCATCCGAGAAAATAGCATACAGAAAAAGGGTACCCTGATTCTAACCTCTCTACTGGGGGACCTAGCAATCGTCAATGGGTCTGGGGCACTGATTGGTTGTGAGAGGCTTGCACCTCGCGAAGCACCTCCGCGGAGCACCATACCTTCGGCTTCTTGTCAGGCAGCTGAGGGCTGACCCCATCAAAGCAATCAAACATGTTCCATGGGTCCCCCTTCTTTTTTCTTCAAAACCCACCAACTGGGCGTTGTTTTGGTTTGCCCTTCGTTAAACCCACGAGAAAACATGAGGGCCCCATGCTCACAAATGGGCCTCTGGAAAGCGAGCATCCGCCATGTGAACGGCCGCTGTGCCCAAAAGGATCCGATTTCTCTCGCAATCAGGACACGCTGATGCCAAGCCTGGCATCTGACAACGACCGCTGAACAGCATTTCAACTTGGTAAGCTACTGATACATGCACAAAGAACCATTCTGTGCACACGGCCTTGAGTGTCTCGTTCACGGAAGCTGGCCCCCACTTGAGCCCTTGTTCTGAGTTGGCCAACCGAGCGCCGAAGAAAACGCAAGAGGTTGCTTGGGGGATCAGAATCTTAGCTTTTTGCACGTGGCAATCCGGGTATGTGTCATGCATCTGGTTTCCCTGTAGACCCCAGAAAGGGTACCTTCACACACACACACACACACACACGCACCCATCTGTTGTTGTTTTTTTGGCAGCTCGGCTCAATTCTATTGAAGGAGCAGTGCAGTCACCTGATCTTCCACGCGCCAGGTCTGGCTTCTGCGCTACTTTTTGTCCAGCCGCGCCACAACGTGGGTCGCTAGTGCTTTGAATGCTTGGACCCCGTAACATACACGCGGAAGCCACGGCCTGAATCTGTATCACGACGCATTTGCACGCGTTTCGGGGTTTCGGCTAGAGGCAGGTTAACCCCAGTGTCTGCTAGTAAGGACGGTAAGAACTCAAGTAATGGCCTGTCGCCATGAACAGCCCATTGCCGTGGCTTACTCGCCACCCATTGGACAAGTCCTGCCAATCACAGCCTGGCGCGGAACGGCACGTTTGTACAGCTGGCTCTTGAGCCGAAGGTGAGTGGGGTTCCCTCAACGCACACTTCCGTGGTTGCCGTTCCCGGGGTGGCTTGCCTGTCTCAACTCCAGGTTACCAGCCCTTGTTGGCAGTTTCAAGAGGCCTCGGCTCCCATTCAACACCAGAAAAAGGTGATGGATGTTGCTTCGCGTGTGACACACTGCATCTTTCTCCCACTCTGCATCTGCACCTTGTCATGAGAGGATCATTTTTGTCAATTTCGATTTCTGATGTTTTTCCCAGCCAACTCTGCAGCGTCCATTTAAGAGACTGGCCTAGAGGCTTGGATGCCACTCGTTTCACGCGAAGGGTTCTTTCCCCTGACCTCAAACCCAGTAGCAAGTCCAGGTGCCTCAAAAGGATGCCATGTCAAGGGCCCTTGACACCAGGTTGAATAGTTTTACCGTAGCTTCCGCTTCTGTGTTGTGTTTGTTCCGGATCGGGGAAATCAAAGCCCTGCGGAGTCTTTTGCCCGGGCGTTCAGAAATCTGATCCGGCCGGCCGGATGGTACGAACACGCCGGCAATCTGCGCGAAGGCAGCGAGAACGAAAGAGCGGACAAAGCGATGCGCTTTGCTCAATATGGAAATTCAACGGGTTCCACAAGAGGGGGGGTTCCCCAAAAGCAGACTACAATGACTACAACAATGTTGTTGTTGGGTTCCATGATGTTCCATGTAAAGTTGTGGGAGAACATGTGCAGAGAACCGCCACGGTTGCGTCCATTAGGCTGCTTGCACGGCAAGAGCACTAACGAAGACCCACAAAGACGGAGGTGGTGTGAATAATCATTGTCCCCCAGCCCTGATATATTACATGAGAGCTCATATGGCCATACTGGCCGTGTCCAACCCTCACTGTGTTTGATTTGATAATGGACATTATCATTGGGGTGGCGCATATGTATCAAGGGGCGGAGAAGTCTGCTTTGTTTCCGCTTCAGTGCTTGTTTGCACCTGCCCATTCTCGGAAGCAAGCACTATCGCCATCTTCAGAGGTGCATTGAATTGTGGTTTTGCAATCTCGATTACCCTTCTGTCCCCTAACACGAACAAATATCAGGTGGTCCATTTTAAAGCAACGTGATCTTCCAGGACCCCTCAGTCAGGATCCATATTATAGTGGACAGGAGGGTAAAAAGGCGAAAATTGGAGAAACCAGCAGCCACATGCCGTGAGACACGGTTCGACGTTGCTGGATCTGGCCCGCAGATTTTAGTGCCAAGCCCGCGCGGGTCCTGCGTCCTGCTACCTGGGCTGCCCACAAATTTTGGAGGAGCCGATGTGAAATGTGGTGACTCAGCCGGCTGTTGGTGCGGATGCTGGACGCCAAGTAGCCCATAGTGGTTCATTTTCCCAGAAGGCAAGCGAAAGGGGATCTTTATTTTTGTTTGAGTTTCCCGGGACCCCTACGAACCACACAGGATGGATTTGTCACAGAGTCATTCTGAATCATTCTGAATCGGCAGATGATTGATGTGCACACGGGATGTGTGCAATGTGGTTCATCGTTTTGGTATGACCAGACACAAGCACAAGCTACGCAGCCTTTGCCAGCCATTTCAATGTGGTTGCATTCAAGCTGCTTGACCAACTTTGCCTCCAAGGGGCAACTATTCTCTTGTTTCAAACGGCCAGTTGGATGACTTGAACATGAGTCCCTCTTGCTCAGCGTGCAAGCTCTCCCATTTAAGGCAATTGTTCCGGACTCCACTGGCTGGATTCGTCTGCCGGCGAGTCTCGTGTGTCGCACCGCATCTTGGATGACATCGGTGCAGTCGTGTTCACACGTGGCTTGCTGAGCTGTGGCAGCGCCCGTTCGGTTGCTTCCAAGGAGGGTGATCACGATGCCTGAGAAGCAAAACGAGGCGACGTCGGGTTTGACGTTTGACATGTTCCCAAGAATCGGCACGGATGAAGCGAAACAAGTTGGGCTCGGCCTTGGGATGGCCAGGCAATGGTTTGCAGATGTTTTCAGGCGAAGACCTGAGGTTTGTCTGTGTTCACTGAGTGGCGAAACATACTCCAAGCGACATCTCGTGCCAGAAGATTGTGCTGGACCTGGTTGTGGCTACACGCGAGAACACGTCCAAGCTTGGCTACTTTGTCGATGACACAGTGCCCTCCTTGGACCAAAGGATCATGAACATGAGCCTTGAGAGTGCTGTCAGGGTCCCTATGTTCCCTAGGTCCCCCAGACGTGCCCTTCTACCCTTTTTTTGGGGAGGGTTCCCCTACTAAAAATAAACTACAGAAAAAAGGGTACCCTTATACTAACCTCTCTGTTGGAGGACCTAGTTCCCCTTTTCAACCCGTTGAATTAAACTTCACCTTCTGGGGGACACTTTTATAGATGAAAGCACCCAAGCGCTTGAACAAAGCATGCCACCCAAATCCCATCCAAGAAAAAAGCCGTGGTTGCCATGGACCCGGGTGCTGGTAACTTGCTCTCCCCTCCGAGCGGTGCAACAGCTTCGAGGTCGTAAATCCAGGCTTGGGCATTCCGTTCTACAAGACTGCCGGGGCCCCGAGCCTTGCCGGTCGTGCCGCTCGGACTGGGTCCGAAGTGTCCTATCCTCCAAATGGATCTGTTAAAGAGATCCGTCCAAGAGGAAGTTTGGACATTATTTAAACGGAGTTGTTAAAGAGAACCCGCCCAGGAGCAAGTTTGACTTTGTTTTTATTTATTTGCTTCGAAAGGATCACTTGACCAAACGTCGGAATCTGATCAGAATTTAGTCGTTGGCGCCTGAGCTTTCCGAGATGTTGGTTTGGTATCGCCCGACCAAAACAACACCCTGATGCTTGGCACCTTGGTACGTGATAGATCCGTCTGAGCTTGTGAGCATGTTTGCACTTGCCAGTCAAGTCGTTCTGAACAGTTCATCCAACGTTGTTGCAATTGCGGGCCACGAGCCCAATGGCTATCGCTGGGCCGGTAGTTGAGCATTTACTGGCCACGTTTGTGGTTCCCATGGGCTCCTGCATCCTTTCAAGGATTCACCATGAGTTTTTGGATCGGCCATTTACGGTTGAGCAAGGCCAGGTGGAACATGAGTCGTTCCCTGGCGCATGGTGAAAGGAGCATCGGCATGTGCCGGCCAAGCGTCTTAGGTCTTGGAAGGTGCCAACTACGAGCATGCCGACTGGAAGGACCGGTGCTTGGCTTGTGACTGGAAATGAGCTCAAGGCGTGCGGACTGTTTGTGGAGCCTCGGTCCACGCAAAAGGTGAGGGTAGCTAGCTGGCTTCTGAAGCACTTCTCACGGTTGCAGATTCAGAGAGAGAGAGAGTGCCTGTGATGTGTGTGTGTGTGAGCGAAAACAAGGTCTCAAGGCCTGATCAATGTTCCTTTTGCGCTGTGGCCAAACTGAGGGCCAGGTGAGGCAGCAGCATTTTCGTGTGGCTTTGCAGACTTGTGACGGGAAGCCTGGATCAGGAGATGCCCGTTTTTCATGAAGCAGTGGGTTGGCCAAATGTAAGTGGCGCGCAATGCACATTGAGACTATGTAAGTAGTAGGAGCCTGGGAATAACTGATGGATTTGGCCGGAAAAAGAACAACATATGAAACTAGTTGATGTCTCAAATAATCCGCAGGCTGTGCAAGTGTTGTTCCATGATTGATGTTCGCACATCACCTTGGTGTCAATGTGGGTTTTGGCACCAAACAACTATGACGATGGCTGTTTCAGCAAAAGTAAGGATGTAACTACAGAAATGATCAGGGATACAGCCAAGTTTGGTTGGGCAGCTGGCCGGGCAGCTTAGCTTCTCCCAATGATTCAAATCAACTCTGATATATAGTGTGATCTTGGTGCCATTGTATCTTTACAAGCAGAGTCTTGACCTCTGCTCGTTTGGTTCCCGTCGCAAGTGCCCCGACTTTGCATCAGATTTGAGAGGCAGTTTCAATGCACGGCACTTTCTCAAATGCGCAACTCAAAGTAGTCAAACCTTCAATTCACCAAGTAGTGCAATTTTGGAAGTGCAGTTCCAACACATTGCACGATTGATGCTTCAGGTTTGAATGCACGACCAGCTTCAGCACGTTTGGGTCGCGGCCAGGATCAGTGCTGCGTGCGTACCTCGCAGATCCACTGGCGAGATGATCACAGCGTTTCATGGAGACGCCCTCAGATAACATCACTGGAGGTGCGAAAGAGTCGGGAGCTGCATTTGAGTTCATGAGGGGAGCCTTCAAATGCTAAGGTTGAGATTTGAGGAATAAGCGAGCATACACAGGCTTGTGCATTATGCAAGACTTCATGCAACGTGACACATGGGTTCAGGATCAAGAGGCTTTTCGGGCAGTCCAAACCAGGAACAGGTCGGAAGCCAGTCACGGGATTTTTAAACTTAAGGCAAGTCGTAGATCCATGTAGAAACTTGTAGTAGGTTGAATGCTCCTCGCCTGTGGCATATTGCGCCATCTCCGAGGCTGGAGCGTCACATGGAGATGACACAGGCATGGACCAGCCAACCGTTGCGCTGCCTTGCGCAGCTGCCAAAGACTGCCGGTTCGAAGAGGGTGCGTAATTTTCGGAGAGGGACTCAGGTGTATTAGCGGGCGAAGAAAGGAGATAAATTGAGGTGCTTTGAACAGCCTGATCTTGTTCTGTAGCCGCATCCAGGCAAACTTGTAATCTCGATGGTACCTGCTGGGCTTGCCAAGGTTATGATCAGCGCCTGGTAGCTTGACTTGTGCGGAAAATGGTCAAGTTGAGGTTGTCCTCATTTGGACAGCTTTGAAACTCGGCCAAAACGGATCCCTGCGACTTGGGACTCTAAAGTTTTGTCCAAGTCACTGGCAACCCGCAGAAACATGAGCCAGGTGCACCTTCTGCACGGCAGTACTTTGGTCGCCATTGCCACGTGCGGGAATGGTTGCCAGTTGCCACGTTTCAAAAAACCATGACAACCAGCGCCAAACAAGACAAATTCAGAGCACTGGGAAAAAAAGCCTTTGTGCCTGCAAGCACTGAATTACTGCAAGCACTGAATTAGTTGGTTGAACATAGATGGCCCTGGTTTCAGTTTGATTCCTTTTCATTTACCAGCGCCACTATTTTCCCAAAAGGACACTTACCAGCCCCCCCCAACAAACAAGTGCATTTTGGACAGTACTTGTGAATTTTCGACCTGGAATCGCAGGCGCGGTTTGTTTTGCTGTTGGAGAACTCACCCGGGCCAGAACTTTTCTTGAGCGCGTTTTGCGCGGCGCGAGCGGCTCGAGGGCTTCCTGGTCATTGGAAAGAATCCCGGCCTCTTCGTCTTGGGGGAACCGACCCATGACCGCCAGGCCGAGATCGCCGTTCCGAGGGTTGGTTTGATTGGGGGTTTGTTCGGCATCCGTTCGGCGTGGATTGGTTTTATGAACCTGCTGCGAGGTCCTTGGGCTTGAGAATTGACCCAGATTCGCAAGTATGCAAGTATGAGTGTTTCTCAAAATAGCAATTTGTCCGCAGTAGTGGCAGGTGTCATTTTGGTTCCCTTAAAAATACCGAAAGGGGGTCCACCATTTCGAGAAGCTGGTAGCAAGAGGTGACTTTGGCCGTCCGTGGCCAGCGCTTGGCTAGGGCAACCAGCGATCGACACGGACCACTCAACTCCCGGCGATTCCATGGAAGCTCCAACTGGAAACTCCAAAGGGACCCCTTTTCTAAGGTTTGATTCCCCATTCTCTTCACCCATCGTTCTGTTTAGAAACCACCTTTTTTTCCAGGTGTTTGGTCCGGTTGCTGAAGAGAAGGATCCCTGAAGAGAATGGAGAGGGTAACACTAGACCTTTGGAACAGGCCTTCTCAGAGCTTCCATTGGCTGAGGGAGTGAGCCACAACAGCCCCATCCGTATTGACATGTCACATCCATGCACGATGTTATGGATGCCGCGCCAAAGGTTTAGGATTCAAGCCCTCACTGAAGACAGGTTTGAGGCAAGCAGGTTTGAGGGCTTTGTTTTCTTTGATACATCATGAGCTGTTTGGTAACCCCTAATTGGTTCTGGTGTGTGTTGTTTGGATTCGCTCACCTCCTGAGTTCCTGAACTTTGAACTTTTTTACAGACCATTTTAATGATACACAAAAGAACTCAGACTTTGTTTGCCAAGTTACTCAGGAAGTGAGTTGGTGGTTTGGGGCTTTGAACCCCTGGTTGTGCGGAGGGTAACTGGAAACCCACCCCCGGAACACCTCCAAACCAGAACTGCAACGCCCAGTGACTTGCGAGGATTTGGATGAGAAGAACAGGTCTCTGCCGGATCCGAAGCGCACCAAGGCCGATGCCACTCGCTCGGTTTTGTACCCTCAAAAGAGACGGTTTCGCCACCCAAATGGCTGCGGCACCTTGAAATTTGCCTTGAAAGCAAACCCCTTTTCCTTGAATTCAACCCCCAAACAGGGCAGGTTCAAGAAAAGACATGCTCATTTCGGATGGACTACATGAATTGTCCGGTGGGTTGTTTCCGGTGCTGGCGGCTCGCAACTGCATTTGAGGAAGGGGGTACCGAAGCGGCACCTACCGAGGCTTCTCTCCGATTTTTGTTAAATATCATTCGGCATTCGTGACTGAAGCTTTGGAAGCCAATTCGAGGGACTTGGATTAACAGAGCAACTCTGAAGGTGCTGGGATACAACCGAAAAAGAATCGTATCTGACAGTTTAGGCAGCGTGTTCTGCTCTTTCCCTGTTGGGGACCCGGGCCTGTGCCCTTCCTTGAGAGTGTTTCTCAAAAAGACGTGGATCGCTTTGTGTTGGGGCCAATTTTTTGAGAACCTCCTCATCGTCAATCTTGCTGTTCTCTCCTCTGGAGTCTGGATGACACTTTAAGAAGTTGGTGTGGGGTCATGACCCAAAATCATTGGTTCATGCCTGGCTTTTTTTGAGGCTCAGCGGCACGACCAGTTTCCTTCGCCGCGCCGAGCGGCTATCTCGCGAGCGAATTCGCCGAGCGGCAAGTTCCAGGCCTACATCATCCCTGCTGGCATGGGCCTGATCTTGAAGAAGGGCACGTGGCACGACTTCCCGGTGCCAGGTTCTCAGGGTCCGCAGGCATCAGAATTGAGTTTGTCTTTGTTTCTGGGGACGGGTCGATTAGGCTACGGAAACCAAAAGGAAAAGCGCCGCCGTTTTGGGGGGGCTTCACCCAAGAAAGACACGCCCGACTTGTGCGCGCAAGTTTTAGTTTTGGGCCTTGAACCAACCTGAATATTTCTGCAGTTCGGCCAGGAGGATACAAAGTTGAGCCAGATACCCATCTTTCGTTCCTCCCGCCTTGCAGCCGCGTTTGCCCCGGTGCAGGTCCTGCGGGCCACCGGTGTCCGCGTTCATCCTGAACACGGAAGAGGCGGGCAGTCCGTTGCCCGCACGGAGCTCTTTCAGCAATTCCAGTCGCCAGGTTTTGAGGTTCAACACGCTCATGAAGGTCCTGGACATATGGCTGTGGCTCAACAAGCGGGTACCAAAATGGAACTGAGAGTGGAGACATGGACCAAAACCTGCGTAACCCCTCCTGTTTAATTTTGAGCCACACCCATATGACACAATCTGCAGTATGCCAAAGGGGATCGCATTCCGTTTGCTTGGATCCGCAGGTGGTTGCCGCCCTGGCGTCTATGCCGCAGGCTGGACTTGCCAGGGGTGGCAAACGCACGGCAGCAGTATCCCTTTGACCATGAGGTCGGCCGAGTCCCCGTGAGATGGTCACATTGCCGGAATGAAAGAATGTCTGGCGCATGGTTGAAAGATGCTCTTTGCCTGTGAGGATCCACCAAGTCAAGGTGTAAGTTCAGCAGAAGGTTGTTTGAAGATGGCCCGCCTTTGCGTGAGGATCATTGCTGGTACATGTAATTGTTGCATGGCATACCATGCCTAGACTCCAAGACTTGCGGTTCAAGAGGACTTCTTTGCGGCCATTGGCACGCGTATATTAGTCTCTTTTGCGGCTCATGTGCGCCTCATCATCGCGCCCCCGGGTTGAATCATATATCTGGATCAAATTTGCGGCTGCAAAAGTGTCGCTCCATACATTCCAAACAGATTCGACCTAGTATGTCAAATCTCAAGAAATAATATTCAGGTCTGGAGTCTCCGTGACCCTTTAAACATGGGGTCATTAACTTAGACAATGGGGTCACTGACCTATTTTTAAAGGGTCATGGAGAGTCTAGGTATGTGCCGAATATTCTTCCTTGAGCATGCCTCTTGGTGTCTTGCTCAGTTTTTGTGAGGCCGGCCCTATGAACCACGGGGACTGCTACAAGCTCCGCCTCTCTGAGCACTGGCGGGGGCTGCGTTAAGCAGATTCCGGCCATCAGTTAGCTGGCCATGGGCGTGAGCGCGAAATATGTCACTCTGAACCCTTCTGGTTCTGGGCACTCAAATGGATTTGCCAAAAAACAGACCCCAGAAGATTCTACCGTGTGTTGCTGGCCATGGAGGTGACATGTATCACTCTGAACTGTTTGGGGCACTCAAATGGATTTGCGGAACGGGGGATTGCCAAGACCAGTGGCTGGTGTTTGGTATTTCTTGGAACTTGAACCCGAACTTGGGAGGATTCGGCCGTGAGTTGGCCACGCATGACCGGAGCAGGTTAGCCGGACTTCGCTTTGTGATCAATTTGTGCCGCTGTATAAATTTATGCAACCATATCTATGCTTGACATGATATTTCTGTACTGCAAGATGTTATGAGTTAAAACCTATGAAGGTACTAGCAACTTGTTGTGCACAGGACACTGACCTGGCTGCTTTCTCGTGAGGGAAGCAGTTGACACTGCCAGTCCGCATGCTGCATCCCGCACCTAATTGCATTTTGATGGCCACGCCAAGAAACTTTGCTTCGTGCAGCAACATGCGACCTTTTTTTCTTCGGATCTCAAATGGGCTGAAGAAAAGCAAGGTGCCTCTACTAGGTCCCCCAGTAGTGCCCTTTTACATCCTTTTACTTTTACTTTTTTTTTTTCCGGGAGGGTTCCCCTACTAAAATAGACTACAGAAAAAAGACTCCCCTTATTCTATCCTCTCTACTGGAGGACCTAGTCTACGTATCGCTGAGCAATCGCCGAGCCTGGCCAGGGACTTTACGATGCAGTTCCCGGATCCACGTCCATTTGTGCAGATGCATGGCTTGAACCTCGGTTTCCGGCGGTGAAGGGCTGTTGATGCCGTGAAACGTGGATGTGGGTGTGTCTTGTTTGAGGGTCTCCCTTTTGTGGTGTCCGAAAAAGGGCGACCAAAAGGGAACACTGAACACTACAATTTTTCGGGTCCCCTAAAAAACGACATACCCACAGCCGCGCTTGCGGTTGCAGTGGGAAAGATGGTTCGTTTCGTCGAGCGCCTTGGAGAGGTTTTTAAGTTGCCCAACCCGTAAGGTCGCAATGCAGTGAGCTGTGTGTGCGTGTGTCTCAACAAAAAAACGCGGGGCTCCCGATTTGTTTTGTGTTTTTTCCTGTTTCCTTTAAACCCTTCAAATCCTAGCCTCAAGAAACCCACATATAGTAAGGGATAGTGCCCCCTTGGCACGGAGGCCACTTATCAGTTCTTGACATTGTTTTGTGTAGATCATTTTAGTACTGTTGATTATGACTGCCATCTGAAGTTAGTCAAGGCTTGTAAAACAAGTGCCTGTCTCTCAATGGAGAGGGGTTCTGGTGCTCTTCTATTTTCTGGACCGAAGTTGGTGTTGCAAATATTCCAATGACCTTTGGGATCCTCTTCAGGATGTGTAGCTAAGGTTTTGCGAGTTTATGTTTGTACCGGAAGCAACCGGTTCGGTTCATGTTTCAAGCCTTTGGATCATTTTGCCTGCAAGTCTGGCGAGAGTTGATCATTGTGTACACCTTCTTCACCCTTCCTCCAAAAAACAACAAGCGGGGCGCGGTGTTGGAAAAAACAATTTCATTTTCCTCCATATTCCTCAATTGTCCTCCACTTTGCTCTATTTTCCTCTTCCTTTTGGACGTTTTGGGCAAACCGCTTTCCCCTCAGAGGACCCTCCCACGGTACCGGCCTCCACTTAGCACCGGTCGCCCGAGGCTTAGTGCCGCACCCGGTGGCCCAGCCGCTGATGGGCAAAGAAGGATACGGCGGGGCCAGGGATCGGAGCCTTCGATTCGGGGGAACCGCGGGAACCGTGGGGAGCTGGTTCTGTGTGGAGCGCGTGCGCGGGGCGGGGAGCGAGCGCGGGGAGGTTGTTCGGGTGCACGAAAGGCGTGGCTTTTGTGCTTCTTGGTTTTGGCCAAGCATGATTTTCTATGGCGGCCTGATGGTAGATTGTTCGACGGTGGTTGCTTCTGTTTTTCTCCGGCAGATATTAGCCCTATAGAAGCTCTGGAACAAATACGTGGCTCTCCACGGCCGCGCGGAGGCACTTGCATGTTTATTGCTGGTCAAGCTACGTTGGCCATAGAAGCCTGGTTGAAATCCCGTGTTTTGTTTTGTTTCCCCGGCAAATTTGTCCAGCCGTTTTCACTACCCCAAAAACGCACAAGTTGTCATAGGCGAACGCACGGCGTCAGCGGTGCGGTGCGCGTCCTTGTCCAGGCACATCAGGTGTGGCGGCCCATGGCTGATGGCGGGCAATGTAGGCAAACACCATTCTGTGGTGGGCCTATTCCAAGGGACATGTCAATCCTGACCTCACTGAGGTTCAAGCCAAAAAAGCCAAACACCGAACGCACGAACAAGGCGAATGTCGCTCGCAAAGGTGGCCCGAGTAAGGGCCGCAAGGGGAAGGTCGCAGGCGTACGTCGTGAGTTTTCCGGTCGCAGGGAAATCAAGGCCGGTTTCAAAAAACAGCGACTTCAATCCAAGAGACTAGGCAAAAGGATGCCTGTTGCTGGGAAATCAGCGCCTGAACAAAGGCATGCACGAAGTGGCTTCCAAAGCCTCTGAATTCAGCACCTCTAAGAACTTGTGCAAAATGTGCGGGGAGATTCACAACCCAGGTCGCAGGTTCTGCGGCAACAGGTTAGCACACAGGCCGGTGTTCATCCGGATCTTGATCCTCAAGCCTCCACTGAAGGTGTTCCGAGTGCCGTTGAGCAATCGCAAGGTGAAGCTGAAGTACATCCCGAAGCCCAGCTACTGTAGCTTGCTCATGCTGCTCATACTCACTACCCCAAAACCAAACATAGAACCTGCACGGGGGTTGCTAGAAGATAATTTTCCTTTTGAGGGGACCCCTGCAAGGGTCACATGTCGGATTTGGAGCATCCGCAGGTGTTGGCATGAGCCGTGAGGAGGCTCTCGGACCTCTTCGTTCTCGGGTCTGGGGCGGGAAATCTGCATGTCTCCCTGGAGTCGCCATGACCCTTTACAAATGGGGCGTCATTAACTTAGACAATGGGGTCATGGACCTATTTTTAAAGGTCATGGAGACTCCAGGTCCTGATCTTCAAGCTCGCGACCCTTTCCACGGGTCCCAACGGCTTGTTGGTTACCCTTGATGTTGCGGACATTGGGAGAAGCAGTTGGAAGGTGCTGGTTGGGTTTGAAGTGGACTTGTTCCAACTTCGGCTGACTGTGGCAAGTAGTTGAGATTTCAATTGTAGTTCATATGAAGCCAGAGCCAACTTATTTACGCCGCTTTCGGCTACAGCTGTCGGCGCACACACACACACACACACAGAGAGCTCAAACACATGGTTCTATGAATGTGTGAATATGTGTAATATATGCATGTTACTCACGTCCTCACTCTAGTTGAATGCTTTAAATGCATCTACTATATATACACATGTATTTGCAAGCCCACGCTGCAAGCGGTTGCATACAAGTGCCTTTGGTTGCCACGGAGCCTTTGCATGGCGTGCGCGAGACTGCGGGAACCTCAGTCAGTTTCGGGTTCGGACTCCTCGCACAAAAGCCGTGTGTCCAAAAAGGATCGTCAGGGTCCCAACTGCTTGTCCAAAGTCCCAAGTATTGTCAATACAGCATTGGTTTGCGCGGTGCTGCAAGGGCCCAAATATATTTGGTGTCTTGTGGTTCCAGCATCATCCAGGGGGGGCACAACGAGCGGGCTTCTTCATGCAGCCGTCCACCATGCCCACTTTAAGAGCTGTGGCATCACTGTTGCTTTCGGGTGGTTCCCCAGTGGAAATGCGTAGTCGAGGCTCAGGTCGTGCTTTTCCTCCCAAGTTTTATTTGATGCGCGCCCGGCCCGACTGACCGTAGTGGTACACGTGTTGGAAGCTCCACTTCCGGTAAATAGTTGCTGAGAGGTTGCATTCGGCATTCTTGATGCACAGAGCCAGTAGAGCATGCACTGCAAACTGTCCGTTGCAGCTGATCCAATCCCAGTTGAGACTGACAAAGCAACAAGAGCGCAACTTGAATGATTTATCCACTCTTGTCTAATTGCAAATGATTTCGGGCAGGCATCATAAACTCCCAACTGTATAGTTTCCCCTTTAGCGGGGAATTGAAAGCTCCACGGTTCCGAAGTTAACCTTAGGTTCCTGTTCAGTGAGTGCTTGTAAGAACCCATCTTGCCAAAGCCATTCGCCATTTTAGGCGATGAAGCTGGAGGAGACTGGGGGGGGGGTCGAAATGCATTGGGTTTCACTCGAACCCCCTTTGCTCAGGTCTAACGGCCTGTTTAGCTAAGCTCCAATGTTGGACCTTAGGGAAGCGAGTGCGCTCAAATGAAGTGCAAGAAGGGAGGTTCCAGCCATCGAGTCCATGAGAGGGCCCGACGCCCCCTTTTTCCGCCGTCTAGCATTGATGTCTGGGTCACCTCAACCACTGAAACTCACCCCGGTTTGGTTTTGATCGACTTGCTGGTCGGCAGATTTTCTGTTTTTCAGATACCGCCCAGACCATCCATCATCCTCCCTTCCGGCGATTTTCACCACCTGCCGCAGGAAGAGGTGCTGTCCTTCAGCAATGCATTCCGCGAGAGAGAGGGGCTGCCGCCTCTTCAGATGCACAAGGCGAGGGCGTGACTGATTCATCTCACTTCCTGAGTTCATGGACCTTTACCTGTTTTGGGGAGACCATCTCAGTGGCAAACACCAAGTCTGGACTTTTTGGGTCCAGTCCACTGAGGAAGTCAGTCATGTACAAGAGACCCCGATTGAGAGGCAAGGTACCGACATGTGGTTGTGCTTCCAGAGATTGTTTGGGAAATGCCAGAAAATGTCACTGCCCTCCCCAACCATTTTGTGTGTATTCCTGGAGCACAACCATGTAAAATTCGAGCCGTTTCCCGAACCAGCTGGGATTCTCGCTGGTAGCTGGAAAGAACGCTGTTCGCCGGACGAGCCGCTCGCCATCAGCCCAACGTATGCCCGTGTTGAGGGCAAACATCGCGCCATGTTGTGTGAGTGAATGACTCCAAAGTTGGCGAACAACCAAAACAACACAAGTTTCGCACATGCGCTATTGCAAGGCCTGAGTCTTTGTGTTCTTGCCTTATTTTTTGCATTCCAAGATGCATTTTTTGTTAATGTTGAAACGCATGTGGAAACATGAACTGTGTTTGCAATGCTTGACCATAATGGCGCATGCCATTTTGGCTCAAGCTTTGCCCTGGGTTCTTTGAACCCAATTTGTGTGAAAAAGATTTGAGTTTGAACACCCCCGAACTAACCCCGATCAAGCAATGGCTTCCTCGGCAACCTCGGCAACCTCCTTCGAGCTGATTCAGAGCTGATTGCTCACTCGGAGGGAGGAGGTGGAAATGGCCAGGCCAGGAGGCCCAGGAAATTCGCACACGCGAGGCGGCAGTGGCGGCCGGCCTGGTGTTGGACGAGCCCGAGGCCCCCCCATCGGCTTCGGCTACCGACGTGATGAACGACCTCTCCAGTGCACTGGAGCGTCTCCGTGTGGCGTTTGCCACACCGACTTCCGGCTTGGGTGCCCCTGGCCCCGCCGAGGAGGAGGACAAGGACATGGAAGATGCGGACGCCACGGAGCGGGCTACTCCACTGGAAGAGGCACAGACACCACCCACGAAGAGGCTGAAGGGTTTCGTGGCGGCTTCCCAGAAGACCACGGCTCATGTGAACAAACCGGTCTCCCTGGTGCCGGTGGAGGGCCGTCCCGGCTACTTCAAGTTAGTGGACCTCCCAGACCTTTTCCCGGTCCTTCCGGCATCGGCGGCCACGTTGCTGAGGGACGTCACGGTGGAGGAGGCGGTCTCCCTGTTCCACAAGTTTGTCGGGAAGAATCTCACGGAGGACTTGGTGATTCGTATCCTGGAGGCCTATGTTCCGATGAAGATCCAGATCCGGCAGGAGGAGGTCTGGGCCTCACAGTTCCAGAGGAACAAGGCGTGCATTGGCACCCAGCGGATGCACAGACTCGATGCAGGCCACTCAGATTACAAGTTCATGTGCAAAGCATGCGGCACGGGGTGGCCGGAGGCAGCCAAGCAGTGCTGCCTACCTATGAGGCGGACGGCATCACTTACAACCTGCTCATTGTGGAGGGCAAGCCGACCTGCGGAAAGGGGGAAGCCTGGGTGCCGCTGGCCCCGGTGGTACCCGGGCACAGGCGGACCGCAACCTGGTGGACGGCACGGTCCTGGGGAGAGCTCCTCCGAAAACGGACACGGCAGAGGAGATCACCATGGCAGACGTGGTCCCGCTCAACAGGCGGGTGGACATCCGGCAGGAGATCCTGTCCATGGAGGCGGACGACGAGGCGTTGAAGGTCCGGGAATGCCAGGAGATCAAGGTCAAAGTGCAGCGGTCCCTGAAGGAGGCGGAGGCTCAGAGCTTCCAGCTCTACCACCCCCACATGGACCAGGCGATCCGGAAGAAGGAGGAGCTGCATAAGGCCTTGAGGGAGCATCGGGAACCAACCCCGGAGGAGTGCTCGGCCAGGCGGCGGCACGAGGAGTTGGTCACGGAGGAGATGCTGGACAATGAGATGGCTATCCTGGCGCCTTCCAGGAGGGCATGCAGGCCCTGCCGTCAGAGGAGGTGGCCAATGAGGGAGCCCGTGCCCTCAGGAAGGTCAACCTGGAGCGATTCAAGGCCAAGCTGCGAGACCAGTACCTGGAGGGGAAGGGCGTTGACGCCAGCCAGGCACTGGCTGAGGCGATGGGCTCCATTCAGGAGGCTCAGGAGGCGAACAAGCGCACCCAGGACACCAACCAGGCATGGATGCTGAACCACACTCTTGGAAGTGTCGGCGTGGCCAGATGATCTCAGGCAGGCGCTGGAGAGGGGGCTATTCTGCCCCCTGGAGCTGGATGACCCCGAGGACATCCCCAACATGGGAGACATCAAGGAGAAGTATGTCCCTTACATCAGGAGGCTCAGAGAGTCGCAGAACCCATGGCACCAGGAGGCGCTGCTGGAGGAGATGCCCGATCACTGGCCCCGGGGGGGACCAGCCAATGTCACAGCAGGACCTGGACTAGGGCAAGCTGTCCCTGCTCCTCTGGGCGATGAAGAGGCACCAGGGGGAGCTACGGATGTTTGGGGGGATCTGGAAGAAGCGCTCAAGCGGTGAGATCCCCAAGGGCGCGGACCAGCAATTCAAGCTCACGCCGGAGGAGCTCCTGGCCCTGGAGCGCAGGACTCACCCACTCACGTGCGAGCAGGACCACATCGACCCAGTCATCTACACGGCCTTGGAGATCCGAGCGCAGGTGAACCGGGGCGAGCGCCCGGCGCCGGAGCAGGTGGCGGGGATCTTCTGAGCAAAAGGTGATGGGGTGTTTTGGACCAGGCAGACGAGAACGTGGGACCTGCCGAGCCTGACGGGGGTGTACGCCCACAGGTTCACTTTCAAGTACATCTACTCGGCCTGGACCACTTTCCCGCTGATCGTGAAGACGCAGCGCCGGGGCCGCAATGCGGAGGGCTCGACCTCGGACAAGTGGATGGGCAACATCCTCCAGATGAGGAAGGAGGCGGTGCCCTTCCTGGAGAGCCTGGGCATCCCCAAGCCGCGCAGCAAGGCGGAATGGAGCTACATCTTCAAGGAGATGGGGACGTTTCTGGCGGCCAAGAATTTCATCGTTAACTGCCCGTTGCCGGTGATGGAGATCCCAGTGGCCCCCGTCCACGACAGCAAGGAGGCGCTGCGTTTCAGGGCGGTCTGCGACGAGCGAATCACCCTTCCGCTGTCATCGCTGAGGGCTTTCGACTCGGTCTACACCAAGTTGGTGTCGGGCCTGAGCAAGTCCTCCATGGTGGAGGTGAAGGTCAACTGGCGTTGCAACGTGGTCCACGACTGGGTCGAGCAGGTCCCGCAGGAGGCGGCGGGGGCCTTGTACGACAGGTTGGGC